TCAGAAAGGAAAGTTAAAAAGTTTGTTCATTCGTTATATAATAATGTTCAAAAATATGATAACTCAGTATGTGGTAAATATATTGACCCTTCAGAAGTTTTCAAGAAAGCAAATGAAGAAGTTGATATCACTTTTGATATGATTATTCCGGTAAATGATTTGTTAGCATTTCAGGCGTTCGATGATTATCCTAAATCATTTGGTGAAATCATTCTTAAATATTATGTTTTCAGGGATACTTTAGTATTTTGTCAGGTTGACCCGTTAAGAGTTGCTGATTTACAAAATTACGTTTATGAAAAGATAACTGATGAAAATTATGAAAAGATTATGAATCATGTTTATAAATATGATCGCAAATTCCAACAAATCGGACTTCCTGCCAAATTAATTACAAGCTTAGCCGCTACATCTGCTGACGCAACAGTTGATGACGTTATTATTTCATGCACAAAGATGGAAGTTTTAGAGGATAAATGCATTACACCAGGATACGGTTTAATTGAAGAATCAGTTAAAGCAATACCACGTTTATTCAGTAAGGAAGATCCATTCATGATTCCAGCTCAACATATTGACGTTCGTTCACTAAATGGAGGTTGCATCACTCCTGAAGGTATCAGTTCAGATTTCTCATACGCTCTTCATAATGTTACAGATGTTGTGTTAGCATTTCCGAAGAATGCAATGCAAAGAACGGTTTTAGAAAATCCAATGCTTCGAGGTCTTCAGGTCACTATAGATTCCAGAAACTTCCCCGATCAAGCGATGACCACAGTGGGCGACATATTCTTTACACGTATGCTTCAAGCTTCTGATTTAGATGGAGTGAATGAATGCACGGAAGAATACGAGGACTCATTAACTAGACCACTGAATGATGATAATGGCGTGCCATTAGCTAGAACATGGAAAGACCAAACTTCATTCTTATGCACTATTCCAGTTCAACGTGATGGAGCGGGTATATTCTTTGATGGATTAGAAACTTTCAACTCACAAGTTACAGTACAAGTGAAAGCTTATCCAATCATTCAGGGTGTAAATGACACTTACTGTTCAAAGGTGACAAATCCTCCTCAGGTTTGGTTTACTAGGACTACGTATTGGACATGGACACCGGATGAAGGTTTGAAATATCATCCAACAGGTACACCACCACAGTATAGAAGTTCATATGATGAAATATTGATGAATAGAAATGTATAAAATTATAAATTTATTTTTGATTAAATGGATTTAAATTCTGAAGAATTAGCGGGAGTATATAATACATACGTAGATGATATGATTAATGAAGCATTGAGTGATAATAGAAATGCTCTATCTAAGGAAAAATTAATGAAAATTCCATATTCTGAATGTTACTTAAATTCAATCACTGCAGCAATTGGTAAACAAATAAAGGTAAAACATTAACGATATTAAAACAAATTATCATTATTGCTAACACTTCCCCCATTCACATGTGTTAATTTATATCAACCGTTCAGGTTCACCTTCAGATGATACATTTGAATCTTTAAAGCATTTAATCAAAATTCCAATTATTTATTTATCACAAGAAGAAGCAGAAGATTATTTAAAAAACTTTTTAATGTATAAAGAATTATATAATACAATCAAGAAGCAAGGATTAGAGGATAAAATTATTGATAAACAACGGGATGAATTATTTGAAACACTTTCTATTTCAAATTTTGATAGAGAATTTTTGCATTCACTCATTTTTCTAGATGATGCGGTGAAATCAAAACTAATAACAAATGAGAAATCATATTTTAATCAGTTATTAACTCAATGTCGACACATTCAGTGTTCATTCTTCATGGCTGTTCAATACTTCAAAGCATTAAGCACAAACATTAAATCAAACCTGTCCACCCTTTTCATTTTCAGTGGTTTTAGTCGTCAACAGTTGAACGTTATGCTTTATCAAGTGAATTTACCAATGAGCATTAATGAACTTTACACACAATATCAACAATTAGGTGAACATGGAAAAATAATAGTTGATTTAAATAAAGGAAGTGTTAAATTTGATTAACTTTGTATAATTAATTTTTATTTTTTATTTATAATTAAACATGACAGAAATTGCAAATCTTCTACAGGTTCCATTAAAACAAGGAACAAACAAAAAGGGTGCATATAATAGAACTATGAAAGTTCCCGATGGAATGAAAGAATTAGTTCATATTGTTGCTGGTCTTCAAAAAGATGTTAAACAAATGAGAAATGTTTTAACATTACCAGAAGCTCAAGCATATGCCAAACGTCATGGTCCAAATTGGGAAGCACACGAAGCAGACATTACAGGTCCAAATGGAAAACCTGATGGTATAAATGAGGTTTTCGTTACTGATGGTCAAGGAAATATTAAAGTCATAAATGGGTATAAATTAACAATGACGGATTATCCTAAACGTAAAGCATATAATGAACGTTATCCTATGCAATTTGATGAAAATGGAAAAGCTGTTAAACAATACATTGGAAAAGGTGAAAATGGTCCAATTAATTCATACCGTCATAATCCATATTCTTATTTCAATGAAGAATTAAATGCTATTGAAGAGGGACCGGATGGATTACCACGATATTCTAACCAGTTTGATGGTCAATATGCAAATTTGAGACCTGAAATTCCAGCTAAGAAATTCTTTAAAGTTGCTTTATTCGATCCAGTGTTCAATGAACAGAAAGAAGCAATGAAAGCAGAATTTAAACCAATTCAAGTGGCAAGAATTTCTTCATCTTCACTTTCAGAAGCGTTCAAGGAATTGATAAAGAAACCACTTTATTCTCAACAAGGTTATAACTTTGATTTAATTAAAGAAAGTGATAGACGTAAATTAGAAAAATCAGATGGTTTTAAGAATGCATGTAATGAAATGATTAAAGATATTGTAAATGATAAAATAAGACTTGAAGAAACTCAAATCATTATCAATAACATAATTGGTGCAGTTACAAAGAAAGTATAAGCAAACAAGGATGAACCTTGGGATATTACCGTAACAACTAAATAAAACTTTAAATATATTTTTCTTTTTTATTCGATTATAAATGAGAAGACGTTTCACTAGTCAAAAGAACACTAACGCAAAAGCAGAGATTACGGTTGGTTATAACGTAAATGATGATAAATCACGAATTATTCAAAATGTTAAAGTTAATGTTAGCCCTGAATTAACAAGGTCAGCAACTCAACCAAATTTATTAACTCGTGACTTACCGAAGAATGAGGAGAATGAAGAAAACCATGAGAATGGAGACCCAATCATTTTATCTGAACCCGGTAAAGAACCCGTTGAAATCCCCACATATCCAACATACCCCCCACCTCTTTCATCAAACATCGAGAACCCAGGAATATACGATTCCAGTCGCAATGCGCCATATAAAATAGACATTAATTCTGAATTAATGAAAATTTACCGTGATATAATAACTGATAATTATGATTCAATAATAAATTTAATTGATCAATCCGGTTTAATTATTTTACCTTATGAATCATTAATTCACATTATCGCCATTCTTTGTGATGTTCAAGATTCAGACGTGAAGATTCAATTTTTCATAGATGATGAGGTTTCATGCTGCGGAACAGTTGCAAAAATAAATCCTATAAAGGATATTAGCACAATTAAGATATCAAAGAACGGAACAACAACTGAACTTCATTTAACATATAATGATATTTATAATAAAATAGTTGATGAATATAAAATATCACTTGAAAAATTCTTTGTTAAGGCTATTTAATATTCAAGCATTAACATTATTGAATAATAATCCTTTGAATCATAATCAATAATAATTGACCTTTCACCAGTTTCTATCGTTTGTTTTATTTCTTTTTGTTCCCCACTATCTGGATCGGTCATTGTAATTGTTTTTGTTATAGTATCAGCTTTATCTTTAACTTCAATCTTTTTTCCATCAGGATATTTAAACCAAAATTCCAAAAATTCGATATTGTCAATCTGTTCATATTTTAATCTATCAATTGCATTTTTAATACCATCTGAAAATCTTATGAAATGGTCATTATATGGGTTTGATTGAACTAAATTTGAATGAAGTGAAATATAACCCGATGATGAATATGACATTGACTCATATTTTCTGAAAACACTGAAATTTATAACATGAATGAATTTCTTATTCGTTGAATTTATGAATTCTTGAGGTAATCTTATTCTAGTTTTATTTATCACTGGAAAATAACGCTTTACCATATTTTTAATCGTAATAAAAATGTCAATTATCAATATTATTTCGAATAATAGTTGTGAATTAAATTTAACAGTTAGTGGAATTTATAATGTTACTCTCGTTTCTGTGAGTGGTAAATTTAATCCCATTCTTTTAGACCCTTCAGATTATATATCATTTATTAAAGATGACCTTGAAAAAACGTATGATATGTATATAAATAATGTGATAACGAAATGGGATATTAACACAATTTTAAGTTATTTAAATGAATCATTTATCGTTTGGTATGAAGAAAATTTTAAATCAAAACCTGATAAACTTTTTGAACTTGATGAAATAAATAACCTTATTAAATTCCCGCTGAAAATTAAATTTTGTACTCCTCATCTTCGTTCAATGTTGGGGATATTAAATTTTGAAAAAGATGTTGGGGATGTTTTGTATTCTGACACTGGTTCCAATTTCATTTTAATCAAATGTGATAAAGTTAATACCCCAATGAGATTTTCACATCAAACATTAGACCCTAACTCTTACCCATCAATACAAAACATTTTATCCATCAACTTAAACACATTTTCTTTATCATATCCGTTTCAATTATCTGGGAATTCATTTATTCTTCATTCAAAAGATTTATCAAATATTAAATTTAGAATAACTGACCTATTGATTGTGATTTAGAATTTATGAATGAAATATTATGGCAATTTCAAATAGAAAAAATAGCTGATGAGATAACAGATTAAATATTTATTTTTAAATCATAATAAATGATTAAACAACAGCAACCACAGCAACTTAAGGCACAGACCATTACTTACGCCACATATGCATATAATTCAAAGACGGCAGAACAAACGCAAAGGTTGAAATATGGAGATTTGGAGATAGTATTGAAAAATGACCATTTTGAATTCGTTTGCAAGGGTGGTGCAGTGATATCAAATATAAAAGAAATTTTATTTATGAATTCAAAAATTAAAGGAATAACGGATGATATAACATCAATTCCACCAGAAGAACAAAGATATTACGCATTAAATGCATTTCCTAAAGTTTTGAAGATTGGAAGATTTAATTTAAATGAGGAATTCATAGAAGGTTTCCTAAATGACATAATGAAGAAAGCAGATAAGGAATATGTGGATAGTGAGTTAATGAAGAAGGCAGATAAGGAATATGTGGATAGTGAGTTAATGAAGAAAGCAGATAAGGAATATGTGGATAGTGAGTTAATGAAGAAAGCAGATAAGGAATATGTGGATAGTGAGTTAATGAAGAAAGCAGATAAGGAATATGTGGATAGTGAGTTAATGAAGAAGGCAGATAAGGAATATGTGGATAGTGAGTTAATGAAGAAGGCAGATAAGGGACTTGTGGCTAGTGCATTAATGAAGAAAGCAGATAAGGAATATGTGGATAGTGAGTTAATGAAGAAGGCAGATAAGGAATATGTGGATAGTGAGTTAATGAAGAAAGCAGATAAGGGACTTGTGGATAGTGAGTTAATGAAGAAAGCAGATAAGGAATATGTTAATGAAAAAGATAATGAAATTATCGAAAGGGTTGAATGGTACCATGAACGGACATCGAAGATTTTAAAAACTAAAGCTGATACAGGATGGGTTTCAGAATGTTTAGACCTTAAAGCAGATAAAACTTATGTTAACGATGAGTTAGAGAAGAAAGCAAATAAAGAATATGTGAATGAAATATACCAAAGTTTGATAGGAACAACTAAAAATATTGAAACTATTGCTGGTGACTTTTCCGTCTATGAAGAAAATAAATATTTTAGAGGGCAATTGGTACATTCCTTAAAAAATGGTATACGGTATAAACTCATTCCGAAAAATAACAATGAAATGTATGTAGGCTATATAAAGAATAATGGTACACAAGTTAAAGTTCCATTAGACAACAACTGTTACTTAAACTTATATGGAGACGAACAAAAGAAATATTTAAGAGTTTATGAAATGACGGATATGACATTGTCTAACGTAGCTCCAGCACCGTATTATTTCGACTCTGGAGATGATGTCAGAACGCCGCATGTAGATGAACAAAAGCAAACATTATATTTAGATTATTATAGATATAAAAGATATAATGCAATAGAAAAAACGAGAATAGTATATTATTATATAGATGACAAAAATAAATATTATAGTCAAGATTTTACATACCCTGAAAACATAAGATTATATTATAAAAAATATTCTGACACAAACCAGAAGAAACCCGAAATAGTTACACTATATTTTAAGTTCAAAAGAGACAATCCTATATTATCTCATATGTTTGATTTAATGAACCCAGTAGGTTCTATTTATACATCTATGGATGTGAGAGGTCCTCAAGCAATGTTTGGTGTTGGTGCATGGGAACAAATAGTCGACAGGTTTTTGTATTGTGCAAACTCTTCAAAGGAAACAGGGGAAGTAAAACGATTACAGGTGAAAATTTACCTGCACACAGTCACTACATAGATTTAAGTACATCTCAAGCGGGTTGGCATAAGCATAGATATTGGGATTGGTCAGGAATGACAAAAGGTAAAGGATATGATGTTAAAGACAACGTTAAGTTTGCCATAAATTGTTACTGGAGTGACACTCAGGAGAAGGAAACCATACACATCGCGTTTCAGGATATACACAAACAACGGGACAAAGTAAAGATTACATGCCACCATTTATGACTGTATTCGCATGGTATAGAGTTCAATGAACGCTCAATGTTTGTGAAACAAACTTTAGGAGCTCCAAAAGAGCAAACAGCATAATTTAAATTTTTATTTTAGTATAAATGAAGATTCTACCATATGGTGTTATTGGAAGAGATAAAGATGGAAACCCAATATTTGATCCAAAGTTAAAATTAAAGTTACTGACAAGACAACAACTTGAAAAGTTGCTGAAACCAAAACAGAATGAAAAATGAGAAAATGAGAAAATGAGAAAGAAAAAAAAATTTAAATTATGCAATTTTATTTTTATCATAAATGACCAAATTAATTAAGCCAACTATTTCTAAATTAATGATACCAATGAAATCATTTCGTGGAGTACTTATCCCAGGTTCTTCACAATTAGCCAGGGTAAGTGTTGTGACTCAAGGTGGAACATTAGCGAATCCATTCAAATTATTAACTAAAGATGAACTTAATAAAATGATGATAAAATAACTGATAACAAAATTTTATTTCACTGCTACCATAAAAACAGGTGAAAAAACAGGTGAGATCTCACCTCTTCACCTAAAATATATTTTAGGTCAAAGCTTCCACGAGAGAAAAGATTCCTCATTCGCTAAGGATTCCAAAAATGAAAAAATCATTGATTTCGGCTGAGAAAAAACAGCAAAACCCTTCTTCCACGGGAACAAAGAAATAAAGAAGAAATAAAGAAGAAATAAAGTAAATTTTTTATTTATTCCCGTGGAAGATAGAGCACTTTTATGACACTTTTTATTCACGACAAACAAGACAAACAAAGAAAATAAGAAAATACGGCGCTGTCGCGGTTCGAACCACAGACTCTGACCCCTCCATAACACCACCTTTGACCACTGTGCTACGTAGCCTGTCGACATAAGATTTTATAAATTGCATATTTGACGTAAATTTATTTCCCAGTTATTCAATAATTAATTATTTTTGAAGAACTGAAGGTGTCACTATGTCACTCAGTGTCACTCGGTTATTTAACTTCTCTGAAAAATTGTGACAACATGACATTTTGACAACAGTCATGGAAATTTGATGCAGCCCAAAAATAAAGTTAGTTTTAAAATTATTTTTATTTTTTTATTCCTATATAAATGACAACAACAAACAACAACAGCAACTTTATCGTTTCTGATGAAAAAGTTATTGATTCATTAGCTGAGGAATTAGTTGTGGCAGAAACTAAAACCCTCAACGAAAGAATTGGTGAAAACAAGATTGATTTACATAACTACCTCAAACACGATGGAGGAAGAGGAAGGAAAACTGGTATGGCTTTATTAGTAAATAAAATATCAAATTTAACGATTATAGATGTTGATATCAATAAATCATACAATGATGAACTTAAAGAAACAGTTAGAAAAGACATTTTATCAAAACTTTTGGATAAAGATGTTATCGTTAAAACCGCTTCAGGAGGTCTTCACATTTATTGTAACACTAATTTCTTCTATTCAGTTTCGAACAGAATGATTAAATGCTATTCCTGCAATGATTACGATATTGATATAATGACTTCTATGGATGATTCAAAGCGTTCTTTAGTAGTTATGGCTGATTCAAGAGTTCGCAAGAATGCAACAGAACCAATCAATACATACTCATTCATTCGTGGAAGTTACGACTCGACCATAACCAGAACAGTGAATGATATATTAAATGATTTGAATATTAAGGTAAGAGTTGAACAGAAGAACGAAGAAATAAAGACTATCATGAATGAAAACAAAGATGTAAACATTGACGATAAACTTGCCCAGAGCATAGTTTGATGGCATCTGTGATTTTGAAGTACATAATGACGGTGGAAATATGAATTTAGAAAAAGAAGTTACATTATTCACACTGTTTCAAGCAATTAATTCATTACCTAATCATTTAATTAATGAAGCATACGATAATGTTTATAACTTCTGCAATTTAACTGAAAAAGCAAAAAGTAATTTTGAAAAAGCACGTAATATATTGCACATTTAATGACTTCTCCATTTGTTTTGGTGAAGATTCTAAAACTATATCAAAAGGAATATTATGATGAATATGTTTTACCTTTATTACGTAAGCCAAAAATAACATTTGATATCAAACTTGATGACTCGTTTTTGATAACAGATCTTAGACGAAGGCTGAAAATCATCAGTATAAAAACAGTTCTGAAGTAATTGAGGATTTATCACGTGTAATCCGTTTTGTAGATTGTGGAAATAAATATTTCATTCAAAAGATTACAACATACACGACAAAATGAATCAAATATCATTCGTTCTTCAATCAAACATGAAAGAGTCACTCAAAATGATTAAATTATTTAAAGAAGAAGTAAAACCATAACAGCATGGGATGTACTACTAAATCAATTGTCTTCATTAACCGTTAAGGTGTTTGCTTTAAATCTGATTCTCCAGATGTTTTCTCAACGTTTCAGGGTTATAAATACAACGTTCTTGAAAAGCCTGATTACTCAAAAATTGAGATGTTTATGGATTTCATTAAAGAAGCCATTTGTGATAATAACGATGAAGTGTATAATACCTTCTCGGCTGGATTGCATCAATGATTCAACATCCTGGAATCAAGAATGAAACAGCAATTATTTTGAAAGGACTTCAGGGAACAGGTAAAAACAGATTCACAGACATTATTTCTGAACTTCTCGCTGGTTATTTCATGTAAAAAACATTACCGAAATAGGTGAGCTAACGGGTAATTTCAATTCAGTAGTTGAGAATAAAATGTTTCTTGTACTTAATGAACTCAAGAATGTAGGTGAAGATAGACTCGCAAACTTCAACGCTTTGAAATCAATTATAACGGATAATGAGATTAGAATTAATGAAAAGAATCAACCTAGAAGAACAGCACAGAACGTTGCAAACTTCATTTTCGTAACTAATAACGTTTACCCTGTCAAAATTGAAGTTGGAGACAGAAGATACGTAGTTTTAAGAGTTAATGGTAAATTTAAGGGTCAATTTGATTACTTCAAGAATTTAATGGATTCATGTACAAAGGAATTTTATGATAATTTACTAACATATTTTATGCAATATGACCTTTCATCATTTAATGTACGAATCATACCGATGACTGAAGCCAAACAAGATTTAATCGAGTTATCATCAAATCCTTTAGATGTATGGATAAATACACATTATGATGAATTGTGTGCAGGTATGACGTGTAAAAATGCTCTATTCTGCAAACCATCAGACATGAAAGACAAGAATTTTCAAATGAGTATTAAGGATAAATGTGATAAGAAACAGAGAAGAATAGATGGTAAACAGACATGGTATTATGTTTTGAAAGAAGAAATGAAAGGATTATATAAACAGGTTGAACCAAACGATAATGAGGATTCATTTACTGATGATGAAATACCTGTAAATGAAGCTTTATAAAGTATGATTTGAATTTATTTTTGCATTAATCCCCCATGTTGTCAAAATGTCATGTTGTCTCATTTTTTCAGAGAAGTTAAATAACCGAGTGACACTGAGTGACATAGTGACACCTTCAGTTCTTCAAAAATAAATAATTATTGAATAACCTGAAATCATTAACGATAAAATAAGTGATAACAAATTTTTATTTTTATCATAAATGAATACCCCACAAGCTCAAAATTTACCACGAATCATAACAAGGGAGGAAATGATAAAAATGATGCAAGAACATGTTAAAAATAACAAACCACTAAAACTGAGAAAATGTGGTTATGCAGTAATGATGGAAAGAGAGATGTTGTCGAAGAGGAATAAAAATTAAATTTGGATTGAGTTTAAAAATTCATCTTTATTAAATTCATCTCTTCCAATCAATTTATTTATTCTATTAAATTCTTTTATTTTTGCTTCACTCAGTTTAAGGATTGAACGGTAAGTTTCTAATTTTTCGATTATTTCTTTCCTCTCTTTATCGTTTTCAACCTCACCGCATTGTGGCTTCTTTTTGTAATAGCATATTTTTGATTTAATTCTGTTTAGTTTCTTTTTATATTCATTGTCTGGACTCTTGGATGCTTCGTTGTCACTCATTTCTTACGAAATAAAAAAATTAAATATTATTTAAATATAATGGAGTAATAAAATAAATCGGAATTTCTATTAATTTATTGTTAACCTCAACTAATGCATTGCCGTTAATATATCTAACAAATTCAGCTATTGTGTCAAATCTTCGTCTTCTTTTTGTCATTGATTTATCAGTTTTTCCATAATCGAGATGAATCAAAACTTTATCCCCTTGTTTAAAATTCATGAGCCCCGAATTAATTTGTTCACGTTTAACATCATTCAACCTTTCCATTTGCTTTCTAATATATTCCCATTCTTTTGAAATATCATTTTTCATTTCCACTGGTTTCATGTTTATTGTTCTATGCCATGTATTATTGTAATAATATACTAACTGTTGTATGATGGAGTCATGATTTCCATCCCAGTATATCTGACCGTTAACCCCTAACGCATCTCTAAGAGTTCTCATTACCGCATCAACTATTTTATTATGAAACGTATATGGAGAGGATGAAAAGTAAAAATTAATTTGTGGGAAATAATGAGTCATAGCTGCCTGAAATCCTTTATCACCATCACCCCTGATATTATCTACTCTTTCATGATCTAGTAAGTATTGAATAGCTCTTCTTGTTTCCTGTTCTGTTTTCCCTTTCACTGGAATGCAATATAAATATCTGGTGTTAATGTTAATGGTAAATAAATAAGTAACGTTTCCTTTTGAATATTCTAAATGATCGATTTCATATGAATATGGATATGGTGCAAATGAAGGCGACTAAATTTTTCCTTTAACGGTTGAATTTTTGGGTCAATTGGTTTATTTAATATCTTGAAATCCTTTTTAAAATCTTTTTGTTTCTTTAATGTTTTGAAATGGATATAATAAAGTGAATGATGAAGATTAACTGAAGGAGGAGTGGTTTTGGTGTTGCAGGTACTGTCGTTAGAGGTTTTGGTGTTGCAAGTGGTTTAATTTTATCTGCTTTGATTTTGGATGATGAAGTTTTGGAATTCCTTCCTTCCTTCATTAATTCTGGATGTATTCTATTCATTTGTTTTAAATATGCTGTATATAAAGGTTTAATATACTTTCCCGCTTCGAGTTTATGTTGAAGGATGAATTCCAAAAGTTGATCTTCATTTAAAAGTCGGGCTGAATATGGTTTAACTAATGAATCATAAATTAAAGCTTGTGCATCATTTATGGTCTGAAGGACCTGGCGTTTTGCACCTTTTGTTTTTGCTTCTTTTGCTTTTGCGGCTCAGGATTATATAATTTATATAATTCATCAATATCTTCTTCTGTTAATACTTTATTTTTAAAATCTTTCAATTGTTTCAGTTGTGATTTAGTTTTTCCCTTTGAATATTCATTATTTTAATTTTGTCTTTAATTTTAGAAATTATTCTATCATGATATTTCAAAATTTCATTTTTATAATATGGATAATAATATCCCATATCATCACCCGTTATATTATTATTATATTTTTGGAGATATGATTTTAATTCATAATAACTAAGAATTTTTTGATTAAGTACTAAATCATCAATTAAATTTTCTAAATCTGCGTTATCCATTTATATAAAAATAAAATAAATGTTTTAAGGGTGCCCACCTCTTTGAATCATAGTATCAAAAACATCATTAACGGTTCCTTTTGTCTCTTCTGTGGCATTTTATTAAATAAATGGCATACAACATCCATTTTCACAACACACAGCCTTAGTGTGTGCTCCTGTTAATGCAGTCTTACCAATTGTTAAGCGAGTCATTGACCCGTTTTTAAGTTGTAAATTAATATTCTGACCATCAAATATCACTTTATTTCATTATTATATCCAAATAATTTTTAGGTGTTAATTGTTTATTTTGTCGTAAACTAACTCCTTTCATTTTTTGTGCAATCTTTTTAAAATCACTTCCATCAATTGAACCGTTGAATGATGTATAACACTTGGGGCATAAAGCAACCATGTTATCACCTTGTTTCTCAATTGCTAAACCCAATAACTTCTTCTCATGTGCTTTTTCTTCAGCTTTATTCTTTAATTTAGGTTTAAATTTCTCATTAAAACAAAAGAAATCAAAAGGTGCGAATTTGTAAATGTTTTTATCATAAAATTGTTTATCAGTAACAATTGCTTGAAATGCTTGAGTGTTAGGAAGATTTGGGTCGCCAGCGATTGCCCAATAAGATGAATCAGTATCACCTTCAATGAAATGAAAACGATTAACATTCATGCATTTATACATAAAATCATAAATGAAAACCAAATACCAGTATTTTGCGTTATCTAAAGTGAAGAATGCCTCTTGTAAACATGTATCACATCTATAAAATCTATCTTTAAGCATCACTTGATACGTATCTTCACCTATTTCTCTTATGTTTTTAAACTTATTTGACATACATGCAACGCGTGCCTTCTGTGCATTCATTATTTTAGTCTTTGCGTAATTTTGTGTATTCATTGCATCGTAACCATATGATCCATTAAGTGAAATCTTGCAAAATAAACTTTTTCCTTTATTTCCTTCTAATTCAGCCTTTTGTCTTTCGTTCATAAATTCGTTCGCAAATTCATTAAAGCAAGTGTTTTTCGTAAATGTTAAAATTGATTGAATATCATCAATGATAAAATGAAATCTGTCTATTAGATACCAAAGATAATAAGAAGAAAATGGTTGATATTGGTTGTGTGTTGATGCTAACTGAGTTAATTTCCTCTGTTTCTGGTCAACTGGTAGATTGTTTGATTTCATGTAATTATACATAAAACTGCCAATTGTTTTTTCATCTGTGATAATATCTAAGTTTCTTATTATTGGTAAAAAGTTTATGTAATCATTAATGTATTTTTCATCAATGTGACCCTTTACTTCAGCCACGAATAAAGTATTTTTCTTTCTAATTATTCCCAGTGCTTTTGCTTTCTTTGTTGCTGTATCACAAATGATAACACCATTCAATCTTCCCGGCATATACATTTTATGGTCAGTATATTGAATGAAATCATGAGGATTAGATGAAAATGATGAAGGATATAATGAATTAAAATCAACACCAACAAAATGAGTCATAATGTTGGTGGTGTCCTCATTTGATACAGTTTTAGTTTCTGGATTATATGAAAGTTTATTAATGTGCGTGATTCCTTTAAGATTAACACGATGTTGAACATTTGATAGACCACCAGTAATTCCATTACGGAGAATGTGATAAGCTTCAACTGAATCTAAAGTCATTGGTAAATTATTTTTTAATGCATAATTTCTTAAATTGATTCTTAAACGTTGAACATCTTCATCTTTATTTGATTTTACGACATTGCAATAACAACACATTAACTGACAATTTTCTTTGGTATGTGGTTTTTCATTATCGATTCTATCCAATGTTGGTTTATTAGCATATGTAAACGCTTTACCACACATTTTGCATTTAGATGAAAGGATTAAATCGTGATAGTATTGATAGTCATTCATTGAAACATTGTTTTTAGTATCCCTTTCTGCTTTTTCATCTTGTTTCTTATATGATTCAATTTTATATTTCCAATACTTTTTCGTTAATTCAAAACTTGATTCCACATTTTCTTCTTCTGGATATGTTTCGTTAGGATTGAAGTTCTTATATGCTAACGCGTAACGAATCATTGATGCATTCGATGATAAAGAAAGATTATGAAGCATGTCAATTTTATAAACAAATGTTTCTTCAATAATTTTATCAATTGGGTTAATCATAATTTCAACGTCTTTATTGCAATAATGAATAAAATATTCTAATCTATTCTCAAAATTTTTAGCATCATTGAGATATATTTGATAATCTGAATCGGATATAGTTTCTTGAGTTAATGCTGAATAAAATGAATCTTGAGTGAATGGTTCCTTTTTATATAATTCATCTTCGTAATTCTCCCATGTGATGAATTGATAAGGGAAAAAGGATTTAACACGTGATTTATTGTTTCCGAAATCTTGAGTGAATTGGTCTAATGTCCCACCCGCTATATAATTTCTGATGTCAATAAATCTTAATTCATATGGACAGTTTGTTTTCTTTACAATGACTTGCTTAAATTGAGAAGAAGAACCCAGCATTGATTTTATTTTCCATTTTGCAGTGTTTAAATCACGAAGAATTAAATTTAAATCAAACTTTCCCGAATTAAAACCTATGATATTCACTTTATTAAATTCTTCATCTAAAAGCTCTTTCATTGCTTCCTTTTGTTTCTCATTTAATGTATGGGACAAAGTCCCCGTCGTTTGCGGCTTCATTAATTCTTCATATTGTTCAATATTTGATTTAGCAACTAATGAACAGGTTGAAAATAAAAATTCAATCCAATCAGAGATGAACGAATCACTTGATGTTAAGCAAAAATTCCTCGTAAATGTTTTATCACGGTCTACGACCTCGCCGCTTTGCGGCTTTATTTTGACAGTTGATGATACCATAAATGGTTTTAAGTAAGCGTTCAAAGTTGCACATTCAGAAAGTTGAAGTTCTTCTTTAGTCTCTAATGTTTCGAAGTCAAAAGTAATATAATATCTTGTTGGTTTATAATATTCCTGCAAATTATGTGCTAATAGCCATTGATATATCTTCTGTTTCGTGATATGTGGTGCATATGGTTGTTGTGTGTTTTGCAATTGAACGTCTTGAATTAATCTTCCATTATTTTCTTTACATTTCTCACAATGTTTTAAAAATCTTCTTTGGTTTTTCCTTTCTGGATCATCACGGATAGAATATACTTCTTCTTTGCAAAAGGGGCAAACTTTATATCCTGTGAGTGCTTCAACGTCTGTAATTCTGTCAGCGTGAAGTTTTCCACATGGACTCTGTGTTAATAAAATATTTACTGTTTCAAATTCTGGATCTATCATTATTGATTCCACTAATGGAAAGTCTACCTTGTTAATGTCTACGTCTTCTGGTTGAGGGTCACAATAATAAAAATCAATATTAACGTTTAACATTCTTGCTAACCTCTCACTTTCTGATGAAATGTCAAATCCTTCATATGCATCTATGGCTTCATTTAAATAACTTCTACGAGTTTTAGGATTAACACCATCAGGAATGTTATAGAAGCGTTTAAATAACCTTCTACCTTCGGCTCTTATTTGATTATCATTCATTTTAGCTGTTCCATTTTTATTCATTTATGTAAGAATAAAAATTAAAAATAAATAAAAATAAAGTTTATTTTTTTTTTAAAGTCCGAGACTCAGAGAGTCCAGGGCTAAAGTCCATAAAATGAATTAAGAACACATAAATTTTTATCATCCGCGACGTGACGAATACATTTTAATTTACTCAAGAATGCGTACCCTGATACATTAAATCTAATTCCTGTCTTATTTAATTTCACAACTTTGAAAAGGAATGTATGAATAGCTATAAAATGATGAGATGATGTTTTATGGGTTGCTTCCATTTTTTCTGAAATAAATGAATAAATATAATGTTTATAAGTTTTCATATCTTTTATGTTCTTAATAACGAATGGTATAGACCTTTCAACTTCGTCTTCCTTCGGTGCTGTTCTTTCATATGAAACATTATTGGTATCTTCAATAATGAAACCACAATCGCATAAAATTTTATATGTACCAATTGTTTCTTTTGATATTTTATCTAACAAATCAAAAACTTTATCAACACCTGTACATTTATTTAAATAATAATTTGTGTAAATATCATGGTCTTCTTTCTTAATCGTATTTGTTGCATATGTTACATTTTTCAGTGCTTTTTTGAATTTTTCAGAATCAAGAGGAGGTGAAAGTAATATACATGGATAATCTCCATCGTCAATAAACTGAAGCTTATGTTTATGAATAAATTTAGTACCTTCTTCTGAAAGTGTTTCGTCTATTTCACCATCTAATAAATTTTGTGTTGATTCTGAGACATAATTTTTATATCTTTCTTCATGAGATTTTTGAACTGCTGATTCTGAAGCTGGGATATTCATTAAACCCTCTACTTCATTTTCATTATATTTTTCAACTTCTCTTAATTCCTTAATTTTTTCATCTATTTCATCTCTTATTTTTTCCAGTCTTTCAATTTCATCATATTCATCATCTTAATCCGTTCTTCATAATATTCAGGGAAAACATCAGGTTCTTTAGGTTTTCTTCTTCAGATGTGGGATATAAGAAATTTATAACATCATCTTTATTCATTTTTCTATCATAATCAAACTCATTTAAAAACTCCGCGAATTTTTGACAATTTCTTAAATAATATTTACTAACCTCATAACCCGCTTCCTCTAATATATCCTTTATTTCCTCATTTGTGGATCCCAATTTTTTAACGTTGTTAGTTTTGACACTCATTTTCATACAAATTAAAAAATAAATTATTCAAAAATGTAAGACATGAATTTTTAAAGTTTATTTTTCATTCATGAAAATAATTATTTCTAATTTCTTTTACTCTCTCGTACATACTAGATTTAAAGAATTCAGAACTTTTACCATAATCTCCTAAATGTTTTCTTATCCCTAACGTGTGCCAGTTATTATATGAAACTGTATAAACTTTATCTTTATCTTTACACCTTTCATCACTTCCAATATATTTATATTTCAATTTTGATTTAGCATTTTCATATTCATTAACGTAATAATTCACAGTCTTCCTTTTTAAATAAATGTTTTATGTATTCAGGATTTAATACTCTACGTTTATACGCTCCTAACTTAGTTCTAAAGGTTTTTCTACAAAATTTAGGAATTCCATCCTCTTTAATGTCATCAATGATTTCCATTTCATTATTTTCAATTTCTTCTTCTCGTTTATGAGGTCTTTGATTATGACTCCATTGATTCCATGAAATTAAATATTCTTTATCATTATATTTATACCTCATTAGCTTATTTTGGCTTTCATATTCATTTAATAATTCACAATCTTCATTTTTAAATTGAAGTTTAACCCATTCAGGATTTAAACAATGTTTAATTAATCGTGGAATATCTGACATCATCTATATATAGCTTCTTTTATAAAAAATAAAAAAATAAATTATTTTAAAATTAATGTTAATTTTTTAAATGTGTTTATAAATTATATTTTAATGCATCGTCTATATATAGATGTAACAAAAAAAGTCACACAACCCGCACTCATATACTACTGTTCAATTTTTCTTTGAAAGCTTCCGAAATGCTTGTATCGTGAAATAGACGTTAGAATCTTTTATAATTTCTTTATAATTTTATCAAAATTTCAAATAAAATTTTATAAATGAATAATGATTGGCAAATGCAAAGTGATACAATGAACGCACCATGTCCTGAAATGTCGCACTATGATACAGTATGTCATTGCTGTGGCTTGGATTATAGTAAAGTACCAATTATTAAAGCAAAATTTTTGAATAACTGGGAGATATCATTATTATTCCCTATCCTTGTTTCTTTCATTATACTTAGCTCATATACAGTATTTGAAGTTATCTTAACAAAAGTAATTCCTTGGTTAGATTGGAAATATCAACTATTAATGACAATTTTAATGCTATTATTCATTATATCATATTATGTAGGTATACTCGAAGGTCCTGGCTATTTGCCATTTTATTATCCTTACAAAATGCATGAAGATGGCGAAGATCCTCACGAATTAGGCGGCCTAGTTACAACACAAGAACAATTCGACTTTGTTAAGTCACAAATACCTATGCAGCGCATAAAATACTTCAAAACAGCTCGTAGAATTGTTATTCGACCCGACCATTTTTGTTTATGGTTTGCAACCTTTATAGGAAAGCGGAACCATAAGTTATTCTTCTTATTTAACTTTTGGGGATTCATTTACATTAGTTTATTCTTTGGTTTTGAAGTTTACGGATTATACAAAATAATTAACGACTCCCAGCTCATGAAATACTTTGTTCCTGTTATAATTTATATATTCCTTGCATTCTACTTTGTTATAATGACCGGACATTTTACAATTGACGTTTTTTATCATCTTTGTAAAAATGTCACTACATTTGAGTTGATGCAGAAGACTCCTCCTCAGCGTCGCTATAAAGTAAGCTATTCTGAAGGTTTCATTGAAGTTTTCGGACCTGTTGAGAAATGGTACCTTTGGCTTCTTCCTATTCCTGCATTTTACGGAATAGATGATTATACTCTTGTTTCTACTTCTATGTCAAGCAAAATGTTATAAAATAAATCTGTTTTTTATTGAGAAAAAAGAAAAGATTTTTTTTATTGTCAAAAAATTTCCACAAAGTTTCTCCATTTTGTAGTGGATATGGAAAGATTTGGAGTATATATTAATATAACGTGAGCCTCTTATCTCCACTACAAATTGGAGAAACTTTGTCCAATTAATTTCGCATTTAGACATAGTTTCTCCAATGTTAAAAGAGAATAAAAGAATTTGAGGTTGAAAATATGACTAAGCACCCTAACTTTTCATCCTCTTAAGTATGTCCACAAATTTTGACTTAATTTATTGAAATTAACTCAAAGTTTCGTGACATTCTGACAGGGATTGAAGACTATGAAATCCAGAGATGGTAATTGAATCCAAAATTGATTTTATTGACAATTGATTTAACAATTCTGGAAAATGCATGACGCATCATTTCATAAAGAAATAAATGCACACTTAAGAAGAATTTGATACCAATAACTCTCAAAATTTCAAAGAAATTGTGAAGTTTATGCTTTTATTTCTCAAATTTTGCTGCGTAATGAAGTGATTCCAATCTAAAAATATCCATAGAGTTGACATATACTTTATTTCAAGTGAGAAAAATCAATTAATTTCAACTTTCATTCTTCTTATTGCAATTTGAAGAACAATAAAACTGTTCACTAGAATAAAATTCAACAAATGATAGAAAAGAACATATAACAAGTGTGAAATGTAATTGATTTGTCAGAAAGTTTACAATTGTCAGAAATGGGGGAAAGTTTTGCATTAGTGAAACAGCTCGAACAACTGGAATCTGATGCAAAAACTACTTCTGATTTTCAAGGTCTTAAGTGTGAACTTGAAAAATTAGTGTATTTACCTCAAGTTATCAAATTTCCTCCATTTCTTATACGAATATTAACTCTTCTCAGCGATGTATCATTACAATTATCTCTACCTGATTATGAAAATTGTATAAATATGTATTTTAAGTGTCTTTCAAGCCGCTATATAAAGTTTTTACAACCAAATAGTATCGATAGTTTTTTTCAAAAGCTTAAATCGTTTCCAGATATGAAAATTGGTATTACAGAACAAATGTCAACATCTTTTTTAGCTGTTGGCGGATTTCAAACAAAAAAATCAATTTTTCAAAAGACTTTACAAGCAAAAATTCAAATAAAATCATTTATTCCGATAACAATTCTATGCAATAGAATTTCTATATGCGTTTTACAATACAATGACATTAATGAAACGCCAAATCCACAAATTATTCAACTTGATACTGAAGTAAGTTTATTACCAATGGATAAATTAGTATGGGATACGCTAATTAATATAAATGAAAGTACATGCTTAGTTAAAATCACGAATATTATACTTGAAATCGAAAAAGTTAAATTATATTTACCAATTTCGAATTCTAACTTATCGCCTTCTATTTGTTTTGAACCACATATAGATGGGTGCTACGCAATTGCAAAACCTTCTCCATTTACCATTTCAGATGTAAACTGTCCACTTGAACTCGAAGTTTCATCAGCGAAAGACGATTTACTGTTTTGGTTTGAGACCAATTTTGGTCAATCAGGCCAAATTGTTGTAAAAAGAGGCGAAACTAAAAAACATATTATTTTTATTAAACAACCAGAGGGAAAATTCCATGCAATCATCGAATGGAAGGTTACCAAGAACAATTTAGCTGCACATCTTAAATCTACAGAGCTTTCTTTGCAGTTTTCAGATCCATTTAAATATGAATCGAACATTTACGACAAATACAACAAAATGTATGCCAAAGACGTCATGTTCAACTCAGATGAGAAGATTATGATCATCACAAAGCTCAGAACTAATAATTTGGAGAACGTAAAAATTATCAATATAAAAAGTGACAACAGTGAAGTTCGAATTGTTCCTTTTCAAAAAAATTTTGAGTTGAAGGCAAATGAAGTTATGACCATCGCTTCGGTTATAACACTACCAAGTAGCAACATGATGTACAATGAAAGCATAGCTGTTTTTTACAAACCATTGTCGAAATATGACCAAATTTCGGAATTTCGGATTAAATTCCCTGAACTAAGAATTCTAGCCCAAAATGTGGACGTCTCTGCATCATTCCCATCTGAAATGTACCAACTAGTTCCTTCAGAAATTTACTTGGAATTATCTGCGAGAAAAGATTCCGAATTATTGATTGAAGTTAGAGAGAATAGTAATGAGAACTTCATTGTATGTGGTATGACGAAGTCTAATTTCCACATGGACGCTGGAGAAATTAGAAAATTGATTTTTAATTTCACTCCTCTGAAAATAGGTCTCCATAAGCTACCAGAGATAAGAGTAATGGATGGCGTGAATATATGGAGAGCAAATCCTTCTATACTTGTTAAATTTACAAGTAGTTTCCAATGATTAATGATTTTATTATTAATTTTGTTTTATATATTCTTTGTTTACATAAATATTATATATAATCGGTTAAACTATCATTTCTCTATTGCTTTTTATATCATTTTTAAATTCAAATTTTGATATATCTTTGAATTAATCAATATTTTGTTGTAAAACAACTGGACATTGTTTACCTAGCTCAGGTATGGCATAAATGCATGTGAAGATAAACCAAGATGATGTTATTATCATAATTATCTTTTTATCTCACTTTGATTCTGTTAAATTATTGATTGTTTGTATATAGGATCGAAAACTTTCTCTCTATTAAATGCCAGATGTATTGATTAACACAAAAAATCTAGAGTTTATTTATATAATTATCTGAATTGTTAATATACCTTTGTAATATTTAAGAATAAAACTGTCACCTCACAGTTTCATGTATTGTTCAAGTCTACTCTAATCAAATCAAGAAAATTCATAAATTATCACATAACTCATTGTGTTCTATCATACAAATATACTCATTATATTTGCTATTCGGTATGTGTACATTTTGGTTTAGTTTATTTCCTCTTAAGCCTTGAAGATGTTGAAATATAAAATGATTTACTTCAAAATCAAGAAATACTCTACTTAATGGGTACACATTTAAAAAACATTTATATACATATCAGAAAATACAGTAATATTTACTTATTTTTTACATATTTAAAACTAATTTAGAAGCAATTGTTTCTATTTCGTATTTATCCATCCAATTCCAATACTCAGCAGCAACTCTATTAATTGTATCATTAGAGTACTCCGGTTTAACTCTCCACATGAGTTCTTTGAACATATCTTTGAAACCTTGAGATAAACTAAGCTTAGAGTTATTATCTATATTCAGAACTTCCATTTGCATACGGCATTTCTCGAGTTTATTAATTGCTTCCTCAGCAATTTTATCTTCAGAAGAATCTTCCATATAAGAGCACAATCCATCAACGAGAGACCAGTACTTTGATACGTAGTTATCTAGTAATTCAGCTCTAGAGCGGATATTTGCAAGGATAAATTGAATACTTAAATCTGGTCTTATTGGATTGAAACCTTCTTTTTCGATTCTAGCGGCAACTGCTTCTATTTCACGGAATTCAAGAAGTAGGTATGGTTCTTGTTGTTCTTTAGAAAGTAATTCCCAGTATTCTAAAGTTTTCATTTCAAAAATTTCAGGAGGAAAGTCGGAATTTTGTTTAATAGCTTCTATAAGAGCTTGATCTTTATAAAAATCAATAGCACTCCATAGTTTTGCAACACCATCTTTGATTTCTGGAAGAGGATGTGGTCTTTTTGTAAGATGATCAAGTTCTTCTATTGCTTTAGTACAATATATTTGTTTTTTGTTAGGTGGAATTCTCTTCCAGGATTGTATTTGTTCAATCGGTTCTAAACAAGCGACTTCTTGTTGATAAAATTGGAATGCCATTCTTGGTTTTCTAGACCATGTACAAACACGTTGAATTTTTGGATCTTTCTCTGCTTCTTTGTTATATAAATTTTTCTTACGCCCACTCATGTTTTCCCATCTTTCTTTTATAATCTTAAAATCAACAGTGCAGTTGTTCTGATGAAGTCTCATAACTAATGAAGCTTCACGAGCTGCAAAAATTACAAACCCAGTACGACGAAGATCCTCAGTCATAATTTCTGACATGTAAACCAAATCTGTCAAAAAATCAGGAATGAGCGATTATAATGATAGTTTCTTATTCTTACTTCCTTTAGCCATTGCAGCCATAATATACTTTTTATTTATAAATCGTGGTAAAGGATCTAAGAATGAAGAACAAAATAAGGATGCTATTCCAACAATCACTTCAAAACCAATCATAACAATTACAGCTAATTATGTTTTAGCCGACGATAACTGGAATATTAGCACTGGTACTCGAATGGCCCTTGAAATTCTCTCTAAAAGAACTTGCATCTTTGTCTTCGCAATTGTTAAAGATAAGGATGAAGCAGCACTCGCTAAAAAGCTTCTATCCGAAAAATTGAACGGTCTTGTTGAATCAAACCATATACTTCCTTGCCAAACAGCTATGGGATGCGCTTCCATGGCCAGACAGTTAGAATCATCGGCTCATTTTGATTATAACCCAGAAGCTATTCATCAAGCATCAATTTTCATTCCAAGTATTTTGATCGCTCCTCCTTCTGTCGAATCTCCACATGCAAAGTGGGCAAACTCAAGTTTTGAGGACTTCATCACAGGTGGAAATACAGAGTTCTTCTCTATCCTTCCAAAATAAATGTTTTGTATATAAATAAATCTCTTATCGAAATTTAATCAAATTCTAGCAGCATTTATTATCATTTGAGAGTGCATAGCATTAATCTGATATATTTCATATTGAATTCGTTTAAAATAATGCTATTTCTATGCGAAACTTATCGAAATTTAATCAAATTCTAGCAGAACTTATTTTCATTTGAGTATGCATTAATTCGATAAACTTCTTATCGAATTCCTTTATGGCAATATTATATTTATCTATTAATAATAAGAAAATGAAATAACACAATGGATTTGAAGTTTGAGAACTGTAAATTCATAAGGCAAAACAAGCTCATATAGAAAAAAGTTTAGACTTTAGATTTAGGAAAGGATGATCTTTAAAATATCGCAAATTGGATGTATTTTGAATATTTTAGATATGACTGTTTATAACGCTGTAGGGTGTATAGTATTTTGTTATATGTTCTCGAAAATGATTGTACGACAATGAATGAATGCATTGAATATATTTCATCACATTTGTACAGTTTCAATGATTATGATATCATTTCCAATTTTTCTAACAACGGATTTGAATTTTGTGAAAAAATCATTAAGTCAAAAGAACCGAAAATCGAAAACAAAGACAAACTATGTTTATTACTTTTAGATATTTGCAGAAGAAACAATATATTCTTTGATTTATTTGGATTCAGTAATTTACAATTTTGTTCATCTAAAGTTTATGACGAACTTTATAAATATTCAGTTGAAAACTCATCAAAATCCAATCTTTTAACTATTTATAATGAAACATTGAAGAATCATTCAAACATACGAAACAAAATTGAAATATCAAATGAATCTATTACATCTTTCGAAAAACACTTTACCCATAAACAATTTCAAATAACAAATGAATTTATTTATTTTGTTGAATCATGGTTTGCAGAAAAAGTTTCTCAAGAAATTTCAATTGAAATGACTGCTTCATCTGTTGACGGTGGAAATTTATCCAATATAAATTCTTATTCAAATAATGATGATTTCTATACAATTATTCAACCTAATCCATGGTTAAAAGCTGATCTAAAAGGATATAAATTAAAACCAAAATCTTATATTCTACAATCAAGATGTTTAAGTAATAGTGATTTTTTAAGAAGTTGGAAGCTTGAAGGAATCAAAGAAGATGGAACCACTATTGTTTTAGAAAATAATAACTATAAATTTACACAGAGAGAAATCAAAGAATTTCCACTTCAAACAAATGATTATTTTGTTGCTTTCAGAATCACTCAGACAGGAAAGAATTCATATGGTAACGAACGTTTAATGATTAATATTTTTGACTTCAAAGGAGAATTAATAAAAATTTGACCATTAAAAATCATAATTATGATTAATGAACAATTGAAATATGATAAATAAAATGAAGTGGAATTTCAATCTTTCAATAGTAAAGAGATGATATTTATACAAACAAATTCTGGAAAACAATCAAAATGATATTTATGTTTAGGTAGAAAACAACAAAATATCATTGAGAAAAAAAATAAATAGAAATATGAAACAAAACATTTAAAAATAAATTAAAATAAATTAAAATAAATTTAAAAAATAAAATTTTCTTAGTTAGGATATCTAATACCTAAAATGTTTTCTCTTGTTGAGTTGTACTGGTTGATGCACTTGAAAATATGATCAACTAATGAAATGATGTGTTCTGATGAATCTGATGATAAATTATTATCATTAAAAGCAGATTTGAGACTTTCAAGTTCTTGAAGACATTGACTATCATTAGATTTCATGTCTTCTTCAGAAAACTGAAACTCTGCAATGTGTTGTGAAAGAGCTTTGTAATCACGTTCGATTTGTGAAAGTTCTTCATGTTTAGTATGTTTACATGTTCGCTGAACAATACAAAACTCTTTACGCAACTCCATGTTTCGATCTAAAACTTCTTGCATAGACATCGTTTGTGACATTGTGATTTTAGGACTAACAACTGTTTTAAATTGTTGTTTATCACTACTTTGTGTAATTTGTGCATTCTTGTATTGTGAAATCTCCCGATCTAATTCACTTTCAACACTTTTAGACCATGAAACTTTACCTTCCGTAAACAATGTTTCACTGTCAACTTTCATCCGATTAGAAATAAGTTCGTTGATTTGCTCTGAATATTTACAATATTCGGTGTCATATTTTGTGAATTTTTCGGTTTCTTCTTTAAGTAAATTCAACTCATTAACTTTTTCTTCCAACACTTTCTTAAGATATTTGATTTTACGTGTGTTTTCGCGTGATTGACTAGAAATATCGGGAACAACTTTAGAAAGACTACTTGTCAAACGAGAAACATTACTATTATAATCTGAAACAAGTTTGTCAACATAGACTTTAATTTCACTGCTTAAATTACATTTGTAAAGGTCATCCAAAAGATTTTGGATTTCGGAACCTTCTGTGATTAATTCGGGCAAATAATTATCAAGAGAACCTTCAATGATGTCATTCAATGGAAGACTGAATTGTGGACAATCGATGTTGAAAAGACGACATAATTTAGTAGTAATAATATCACCAAGCATACTTAATTCATTGAAATAACCAACAGCGGCTGGAAGACTGATACATCGTTGAAGATGCTCAAATCCATTATTGATTTCATCACTCGCACTGATTTTACTATGAAGTTTAAATGTAATATCCGAGATAACGGACATATATGTGAAAATATCGTCGATGTTAGTACTTTCGATAGTTTTGTTTGTTAATGAAATCAACCGTTGGATATCATCTGATGCTTCTTTTGGAAGTGTTGTTTCCATAGTTGACAATGTCATGAATAACAATGAAACGGTTGGTTGAAAATGTTGACGTGTGATATTAATAACATCTGCATTAATAGAATTCTTAGCCAAAATGTATGAATCCTTTAAATTTTCAATGACATTTTGATCGGGAAGTTTAAAAAACAGATTCTCTTGAACAAAAATAAGACAAACTAAATTATGGAATTCGTTAATTAGTTCATTACTAACAAAACCAACATCACTCATAGATTGCAAAAACTTACAATAACAAACATAAAAATTAATACAAAGACTGTAAAATGAATAAATACGTGGATCTTCTTCTTTAACAGATTCAATGATTAAATGAATGACTTCAATGATTTCAAGGAATTGTGAAACTGGTTGGTATTTAGATTGAATAGTTTCTTTAAAGACTGTTGAATGTTCTTCACATAATTTAAATAATTCGTCTTCAATTTTTTTGGAGCTTTGAGATTTGTTACAACAAATAATTTCATAAATTGTTGATTCTAAATGTTTGAAAACATTTTGTAATTTACAATCAACAATGTTATTATTAAACAAATATACATTAATAATTCGCTTAATACGCATTAATGATGTAATTGATTTCAAAAACAAATCACTGAAATCAATTTGTGAAATAACTTGTAAAAAACCATAATAATTAGAATGGAATTTATCAATGTCATTCAAGAAAATGTATTTGAATGTTTCGATGCTGTAATAGAGAAGTTCACCATTGTACTCTTGGATAAATTTCTTCTTAAATAATTCAACAACTTTCTTAATAATAAAAACATAATTTTCCCGTTCAAAGATGAAATTGTCTGGAATAGATTTAATATGTAATTTGTTATTATCAACGGCAAAATATGCAAACATAATATCATACAATGTCTTGAATTTAGTACGGATTGATAAGTCTTCGATTTTTTCGGACAATGAACCGCATTTACGTAACAAAAATTCATTATCTTTCAAATTAGATGTTTCAAGTGATGTTTTGATATCTTTGATAAAATCAAAAATTGATGTTGAGATTTCGTCCAATTCAAGACTGTTGATGATACAAACTGGATCGGGTAACACGGAGATCATGTTATAGATACTTTCTGCTTGTGGATGTTTAATACAAAAATCAATGTTAACTGAACAAATTTCTAAATATGGAATCAACAAATCAAAGAAATCTCCTTTCGAAAAAAAGGATTGAGAAATACAAATCAATGAATGAACTGTGTCTTTCAAATGACTCAAATAAACCGATTGTGAATCAAAAACACCGCTCTGAAGTTTAGAATAACCAAGCTTCATCAAATATCCTGATTCATGGATATATTCCGAAAAAATTTCATACAATAACTGTTTCATAAAATTTTGGAAATGTTGACCAAATTCACCTGACAAAACTGTTTTACATTCATTTTTGATGTACCGCTGGATAGAAACAAGATATGTTAATTTGTAATGATTTGTGATGTTGTTATGTTCTTGATTTGATAATTGTTTGTATTCGTTTAAATGATGTTTAGCGTTTGATTTGTTTTCTGTGGATTTAACTGTTGTCTCAATGATCTTTTCAAGACCTTCAAATACTTTATCTTCTAAGACTTGGTTACCTGAAAATTGGAAATCTTCTGATGAACAAATAAGTTGTTTAGTCTCGTCACGGTCAACGGTACCTTTAACTGTAGCATCAATGATTGATTTTGCTGATTTGCTGATCTTTTGAAGTTTAGAATCGTTTTGAAACTTTTTATCGTTCATGATACGAAGAATAAGAAGAATAAGCTCTGGAATCTGATTGATGACTGTCATTGGTGCTGGAACTTTCAATCGTTGTGGTTCTAAATAGAAATTTTTCTGACAAACAAAGGAATTCACTTTTTGTGAAATGTCAATAAGATCAAGACACAAATATGATGACTTGATGATCAAATTAAGATGACCAACGAAGTCTGATGAACCTTGAAGGTCCCTTTGTGTCATAATATTAGTAACAACAGAAGAAAGTTGGTTTGAGTAGTCCAAGGCTGCTTTGTATGTGTCTTTGAGTGATTCTGTATTTCGCATTTTGTTCAGTTCCGCTTTTAAGTTCTGAGAATGGGTCCGAAGATTTGATAATATGGTATTATCGAAGTTTTGAGAGGAAAGCGTGGCAAGAAATTCATCACACTTATTTATGTAATACTCAAAGTCTAACTGAAGTATCACATTCTTCAATTCTGAAAATTGGGCGTAAAATGCGTTCCAAACGCTCTTGAAATCGTCAATTTTGACTGGTGTTGTTGGGCTAACGATCATTTTGAGATACATCGAGTGGAGAATGACGAAATAGGCAAAAGATGATTGAAAACTTGAGGTTGGGATTGGAGTTTTGATGTAATAGAGAACTACTTGTGACATGAATTCCGTGAATACTTGAGAAAACTTGTCAATGTTGACGATGTATGGAATCTTCAAAATTGGCTGTGGATCAATTTGAGATTTAAGCTGATATATTGCATTCATCGCTTCAAATACACATCCTAGACCTGACTCGAGGTACTGTTGCATGTTTGCAGGTTGAATTGCAAAACCAGTGGGAGTTACCATTTCTTGGAGAGTAAATCCTTGCGAATTTAACCAGGAAATAAGAATAGATAGATGTTTTTCAAGGTTAAATATTCGAGGATCTAAAATTAAAGAATCTGGCTCCTTTGATTTCGACATTTCACAAAAAAAAATTCTCTCCTTATTGTCACTTTTTGTTTCACTCACGTTATTTATTTGTTTTGACAATAAGGCTTGAAGATTTTGTATGTGATTCATTTTTAAAACTATTCCCACGAATTAAAGCAATATCAACAGAATTCTGGCTCATATTCAAGTATTTGTGAAATAATTATATTAAATTCTAAATAAATAATCAAAAATAATTATATATTTATAACTCCTGCTGAAATTTTCTGAAATTTGAATCTTCCAAATCAAAAAAATATGCGTAACCAAGCAAAAATTTAACCAAAAACTGTCTATATACTAAAAGTTATTTTGTATCTGAGTTGAAAAAGTGTTATTTTTCACCAAAGATCTCGCATTAAAGGATAACATTTCATATAAAGATAAATATGAAATATATGTAAATGAAAATTTTAGGTGCATTAATTGCACTGATATGGTCGGGTTATTCAATAAAAATCCATTTGTTGGATATTGCATGAATCATTCTGCTACCAAAGCATTTAATCTCGACTTCTCTCTACCATATTCATTCTGTTCATTTAAAATCTTTTCCTACTCACTAAATTAGAAATGATTTTTGAGATCTTAAGGTATTCAACTGAGCAATTCATCCACCATGAAAAATAATGAGGAACATCTTTGAGTGATATTGTGTAAGGCTAATTTTCAATAGAATAAGAAAAAAATTATTATATAAACTACTTTATTCAAAATTTATACTACAATTAGAAATAGATCTTCAAAGATCTGTATTCTTTTCGGATTGTTGAATTCCAAAATGATTACAGATCTGTTTATACAAATTGTTGAAATCTTCTGGTCCTGTGTATGTTGTTGTTACGCCATCTTTAATAAGAAGTATGGATGGAACTTGTTCAACTTGAAATTCCTTTGCTAAATTTTGTTTATTAACCATGTAGAATTTTAAGTTGCTGTTCGACAATTTGCATGAAGCAAATGCTATATTAGATGGTGCTGTAAATCTTTTTGTGAAAACTATTACTGAATCTTCTAGTTTTTCTAGTTTCTTTTGTAATTTTTTGACATTTTTAGATAACTTACCGCCAATAAAAGAAACAAGTCTATCTTTAGTTAATGTCATGCTGTATTGAGAAATTTCTCCTTTATCAACAAAGAAAAATGCAGGAACGTAGAGAACTCTGAATTTACTTGCGAGAGCAGCTTCATCACTTGATTTGATTTCCTTGAATTCAACGAATTCACTCAATTCTCTTCCGGCGTCTTCGAAAATTGGCTTTGCATTAACACAATGTGGACAAGATGACGATGTAAACATCAAAAAGAATGGCTTTTCGTTCTGCGGATTCATAATTTTTGAGTACAATGATTCGCATTGACAAAATCCCAATAATAAGCCAATCATCCTATTTTTGTCACTTTTTCATTTGATATATTTTGGATGAATCATTAAAGGAGAAATTTTTGCTGAACACACCATATATGAGGCAACTTTAATGACTCATTTAGCTAGTGCAGGTAACATATGGTTGATTGGTCTATCAAGATAATCTCATTGCTGAAAAGATTGAGAAGTTTTAAAGCATCTCTCAAATCATTGAGAAAAAAATTACACTCTATTGGAAATTTAAAAAAAATTTTTGACAATCATTTTTTAGAATGAATTCTCTCTTTAATAGTACTTCCTTTTTGGAATTCGTAAAAGAGAATCAAAACTTCACAATAGGGCTTCAACAGATATTGCTTGGAGAAAGAATCACTTCTCTTATTTTGATTTTCATCTTGTTCAACTTGCTCATTATCTCAATTTACTACCTTTCTAAATCATATATCGGAGTTGCAATTGTTGGAATAATTAGTTTTGCAATTTTCCCTATTTTCAGATTAACAATTTACAGATTTATCTTTACATTCGTCGAAACATCCCCATTCCCATTCGAAATTCCAAAGAATATAAAAGTGTTTAAAGATGAAGAGTTTGTTTCCGCTGTTGCATCAATTGCTTCAACACCTTTTATTCAATACCCTCTTTGGCTTTACAAGTTGCAAGTAATGCATAATTATTCAGGAATACGCTCTATCCTTGTCGTGTTAGCAATCATTTTGATATGGAGTACACTTAAATTTGTTGGAGGATTGATTCTTATTAACTCCATCTTTTTGATTTCATTTTTCTTGTTCAATATATTATTTAAGAGATATTACAACATAATATCAGCAGCTTGACCTATTTTGTTTTTATATAAAAATTTCATTATGATTAATTTACTTTTTGAACTGATGTTACTGCTATATTATTGAAGTATTAACTTTCTATAATCAAAGACAATTGGATGAATTGAATTGGATTCATATTTTTCTAATTTATCTTAAATTAAGTTTCCTACTGTTACTACTAGGTGTACCGATTGTATGGTGTCGTTTTCCAACCTAGAAAACTTGAAATCACACTTCAATTGATAATGATTATTAGATAATTACCCCATTCCACCCAATTAAGGATATACCGGAATCAGTTTATGTTATGGTGTTATTATGATGCAGGTACTCAAAAATTTCCAAAATTCAAAATGCCGCCATTTTTCTTTTGATTCAAAAAGTTAAAATCTAAATAATTTATCATTTGCATATTCTAAATATCCTCAATTTGTTCAATTTGAGTACATAATAAATTTTGTTGAAGAATGAAGTCCATAAGCGATTCTCTTTTTTCTTCATTAGAAGAATTTTATGAAGTAGGTGCAGAGAATAGTAGCTTATGCGACGAGAAAGAGGTCGTGAAACTTCAAACTGAAATCCTCAAAGGATCAAAACAGATTGAAGATTTTATAATGAACTCCAAATCGACATCCTCGGATCAGCATATGAAAGCATTACGCTATTTGTTCTCTTTATTTAAAGCAGAACTCTCAATTTCTTTATCAATCAGAAAATCTCTAACAATCGAACGCTCTAAATATGATCATTTAACAGACGATATTAATAAATTTATGAATTTTCTTAGCAGTTTAAGCAAAGAAGAAATTAACGATTTTAATTCAGCGCATTCTTTAGTAAAATCATTATACAAAAGCGTGAAAACGCAAAAGGAAATGAAAAAGATAATGAAAAACCAAATTAGCGAGATCGACAAACTAAAAGAACAATTAACTACTTCGGATGCTGCCATTCAAATGCAAATAGCGCAAGAGAAATCACGTGCTGATAGACTACAACAAACAAATGATATGCTCAATCAGAAATTATTAACTTTATCAAAAGAAAAAACTGAAAAAGTTAAAAAATCAGAGAATTTTACAAAAGAAAAAGATAAACTTGTAGGAGAAATTGCAAGACTTACATCAGAAATTACAATCTTAAAATCAAATACGTCAACAGTTGAAAAACAAAAAGAAAATTTGGAACAAAACTTTACTCAACAAGAAAATGAGATTGAAACGCTTAAAACCGAATTAAATTCAATCAAAAAGGACAAATTATTACTAAACGATAAATTGGCTGAAGCTCAAATTTCAATCGAATCATTGAACGGCAAAAACTCAAAACAAACAGAAGAAATTGCTAAACTTACAGAGGAATTATCATCCTTAACAGATTCTAATAGATCTACAGTAAATGATTCCAAGAATTTGAAATCAGAATTTGATCTTAAAATTCAATTCTGGAATACAAAAGAGGAACAATATAAAAGTGAGATATCAGATTATAAAACACAACTGAGTGCCAAACAGGCTGAAATTAAGACTTTAAAGCAAGAAAATAACTCAATTTCACACCAGTTTGAAGATCAGAAAGCAATTATTGATAAACAGTCCAGAAAAATTGTTGATAATGAGCAAATGATCCAAGATTTAAGACAAATAATAAATGATCAAAATTCTAAAATTGAAGAAATGAAAGCATCAAATGATGATCTCAATCAACAACTAAAGCAGCAAAAGGCCACAGAGTTTAGTGAAGGAGATTACAAAGAAGTAATTAAGAAAGCTTATAATGATCAAAAGAAAGCACAAAAGAAACTCAAGGCAATGCAAATACAGTATGAAGAGTTGTTGAGTAAGTCAGCGTCACAATATGAAGAAATCAGAAAATCTCATTTCTTGGAAATTCAAAAATTAAAAGATGAAAATGACAAGAAATACAGCGAAATGAAATCAGAGTATGAGAAACGCGAAGAATCCATAAGGAACTCACTTCAGGATAATGTTACAACTCAAATTGCTCAAAAAGAATTAATTGAACGAGAATTAAAATATCAGATTGATGAATTATACAGTGAAAACAAAGCTCTGAGAGAGCAAGTACGAAAACTATCATATTCCCTTGAAAAGGAAGAAGAAGAACTAGCACAACTCAAAATGAATAATGGAATTAAGGAAACAATTAATTCCGACAGCTAAGAAGCTAATATACTGTAGTGTATCGTATTATATAGTATTGTTGTTTGTTTTATTTATGATTTTGTTAAAAATTACTTTTCAAAATTTTATAATTTTTTCGACAATCAAGACATCATAACATAAAAATCATTTTTAAGGAAATTCTTATCAAATGATAAACTCAAAAACCATCAGGAAAAAAGACACTTTTAATTCAAAAAGTGACAATGAGCCGGAACGTAACTGAAGAAAGTGTAGGTTGCACACGTTTTGCAAACGAAAGTTCGGGTTTTGATGGAATTATAAAGCATAAATATTCTGATTTCCATGTCCACGAAATTGATCCAAATGGAAAAGTAATTTATCTCAAATCCACAGAACCTCTTCCTAGAGCACAGTATCCTGCAGGATTTGAGCGTTGGTTAAAGTCATCCCAGAAATCATTCTCGTTCAAAATTGAGTCTGAGCAGCAAATTGCTTTAATTTTCATGGAGCATCCCGAACTTCATGTAAAAAGGATTGGCACCCAAGCAACAATCGAGCATGCTGAGAAGAGGAGACCTCAATTCGAGATCACTCGCTTCACTCTTTTCAAAGAAAACGTGAATCAACAAGAAGCGATGGCCAAAATTTTGGCAAGGCTAAACATCACACAAAACCAACTTGGATTTGCCGGAAACAAAGATAAGAGAGCCGCAACAACACAATATGTCACTGTCCGTGATGTTCCCCTCCAGAAAGTTGTTAAATCTCTTTCAAATCTCGATAAAGTAACATGTGGCGAATTTTGCCATGTCACAAGTCCACTCAAGCTCGGAGATTTGTCAGGAAACAGATTCACAATTGCCATCAGAGGTCTGAAGATCGGACAAAAAGAATTGGATGAAAAAATCAAATCAATCCAGAAAAGTGGTTTTATTAATTATTATGGCATGCAAAGATTCGGCACAGGAGAAACAGCGACACATAAGATTGGTATACTTATTATACAAGGAAAGTATGATGCAGCTGTTGATGCAATCATGAACCCTGTTGAAGGTGAAGAACAGAGAATTCATGAAGCGAAAATTGCTTTCCAAAGAAGTGATTTGGATAAAGCAATGGAATTATTGCCACATTCTGCAGTTGCTGAAAGGAAAATTGTTGAAGCAGCACATGATACTAATAAGAAGTATGAGATGTTCAAGGCTGTTGATAGAAGACAAAGAATGATGTATGTTCACGCTTATCAATCTTATATCTGGAACAAATGTGCTTCAAAAAGAGCTGAAAAAGGTTTCAAAGTTCTTGAAACAGATACTGTTGAATATAAAGGTAAGATTAAAGAGCCAACAAAGAAAAGTGTCCTCCAAGATGTCGTAATTCCTTTGTGCGAAGGTGATACAAAGGATAAGATGATCTTGGATATGATGAAAGAAGATGGTGTTACAACAGAAATGTTCAGGAAAATCGCAAAAGAATACGGAATTAACACCGAATACAGGAAATTCATGGCTTTTGCAAAGGATATCGAATATTCTATTGTCAAACATGATAATCCTGATGTTCAGTTAATTAATAATGATGTTGAACTCCTTAATAATCCAAAATTATCAAGAGTTGCAAAGAACACTGGAAATAAGAACTCATCTGCTGTTATTTCCTTCTCGCTTGGGTCAGGAGAATATGCAACAATGTTCCTAAGAGAATTAATGAAAAGATCTACTGAAGTTTTCACGGATCAGCAAAAATCACTCGAAGCTGATTTCGATGAAGATATAGAATAAAGGTCTTTGTTGTTGTATATGAATAATAAAGCTTTTTTATACATTATTTTTTAATAATTCAAATTCATCTTTGTAAAATAAGATTTAGCCAAGATCCAACTATTTTAATCTTAGAACTCATTCAGATGATTGACACCAAAGGTCAGATGGGAAATTATCATTAGAATATCTAGGTTCTAGTATCTTCACACTTTTATTTGTTTGGCCCCTCGAAGCCACTCTCATAATCTGTGTTGTGAATGAATAAAAATATTAGGAATTCATATTTTCTAACACCTAATCTGTCACTTTTATGCATTTTTATCTAATTTTAAAATGGGTCAAGATGAATCGAAGCCAGCAGGAAAACCACAGCCGGGTTCTCCATTAAAACAAGAAGCACCAAATGTACCTGTTCCTCAATATATTGCACAAGAATATGACGGAATTCCTCCACTTGAGCCTTTAATTCTTGGACAAGGGCAATTCTCAAATGACTTTCATCTTCGAGCTAGCACACTTCCAGACGCGCATAAGATGGCAATGGATTATCTTCATAAGATTTCATCTCGAATCAATGATAATGAGAGGCAGATTGCTGTATGCGTTAAGAAGCAGCTCGAAGAATATATCAACTTACCGAATTTATTAACCAAACGCCAGGATGAGCTTAACAACAGATTATCAAAGATTTTAACATTATTTAGACAACTTGATGAAGAAGTCAAGTCTACAACAGACGCTCTTAAATCATCTATAAGTTTTGCTGATAAGCTTGCAGCTCAAATTGATCCAACTCTACCAACATTTTCTGATTATCGTAATCAATAAACTATCTTGTATTTAATTCACCTAAAAACCATTCAAATACTTTCTGAAAACTAATATTATCAATTAGAGTTTGTAATTTTCAATTTTATTCTCAATATTTTTAGAAACGCCAATCTGGTGAAAAATACTTGAACGGGTTATAGCACGAAAATAGTATATGTTAACTTTGCACATTGAAAAAAGCTTATCTTCAAAAATGTATATGTTAACATTTAAGATAACAATACGAATGCATTATCTTCAAAAATGTATAGTTTTACTGCAATTGATGCATCTATCTATATCACTTTTGAATCTAAGATAATCTTAACTGAAAATCTTTTTTCAAAATCCGATGAACTTAGGATGCCAAGAGAATTTCAATATTAGTTTTGTTGTACGTTCAACTGAGATACTAGTTTTAGGTTTTTGACTCCCATTATAATTTTGAATAAAAGGGTGAACTTCACCAGACGATAAATTCACATCAAACTAAATGGCTCCAGCCTACTCTATCTTCTGCAAAGCCAAGAGAGACGAGATCGAAAAAGAGCACCCAACATGGACATTTTGCGAGATTGCAAAGCATCTTGGCAAGCTTTGGGAGCATTTACCAGAAAATGAAAAATTGCTTTACCAAGAAAAAGCAAAACTTGAGTCTTCGAAGATGAGAAGCTTTCCAAAGATCAAATCTAAGAAGATGATTGAATCCATGGGCCATGAAGACACTGCCTTTGCTGAAGGTACACAAGAAGATTCAGATGAGAAAGAACAATCTGAAAGTTCAGATGAAGAATTCGATCCAAATCAGTCTAGCAGCAATTCTTCAAGTGATTACTTCCAGATGCAGTCATCTTCTACACAAGATCAGGAATAAATTATTAAACATTAATTTTTTACATCAAATGTAGGTCAAAACATGTTTTTTATCTATCTCAAAGAAATATAGCTAACTATTTAAAGCCTGAACACGGGAACAGGACAAATTTGCCACACGGCACTTTTTTTAAAAAAATTAATGGAGCGGAGCGATACTCTGCTGCAGGAGCCCCAAGGCTCCCAATCATTACGAAAGGGAGCCTCAGGGCTCCTGAGAATCCATCAGCAGAGGCCTTTTCATTTGGCCTCTGCTGATCAAAGATTCGGCGAAGCCATTCTTCGTCTCAGGAGCCCCAAGGCTCCCAATCATTACGAAAGGGAGCCTCAGGGCTCCTGAGAATCCATCAGCAGAGGCCTTTTCATTTGGCCTCTGCTGATCAAAGATTCGGCGAAGCCATTCTTCGTCTCAGGAGCCCCAAGGCTCCCAATCATTACGAAAGGGAGCCTCAGGGCTCCTGAGAATCCATCAGCAGAGGCCTTTTCATTTGGCCTCTGCTGATCAAAGATTCGGCGAAGCCATTCTTCGTCTCAGGAGCCCCAAGGCTCCCAATCATTACGAAAGGGAGCCTCAGGGCTCCTGAGAAACCTCTTTGAGAAGGTTTTCTTAAAGAAAACCTTCTCAAAGATGATTATCAGCATTCACTCAAAATCTACCAAGAGTTTCAAAGTTTCAAATCTATCTGAAATGAAGCTTTGAATCTCTTGTATATCTAATTGTAGAGGTACCTTTTCAAAATGTCTTCTATTGATTAAATTTAATCAGTAAAAGTCATTTTGAAAAGGTACATCTCTATAATTGCTATTGAGCATTCACTCTTGGAACCTTGGAGCTCTTGTGTAGTGCATGAAAACTACAAGATTCTAGCATAAAACATATATCATAGACATAATTTCTTCAAATATAATTTAAGGTTATTTTTTAAAAAATTAGAAAAGCGTAATTTAAGGTTATTGAAAAGTGACACTTGACAAATTTGTCCCGCACTCCCTGAACACAAAACTTCCATAGAATATTCCTAATGGAGATAATTTTTATGAGAAATCCATTCATACCGCTGCTGTATTATAATAAGTCTCTGTTTCGATGTTATATTTATTACAAATTAGTTTGATGAAAATATAAATTAATAATAAGAACCCAAATCCATACATTTGCTAATTTTTTCTAAAGTATATCAATTACCAAACATTTCTAATTTTTCGAAATTTGTATATTTAGTGTTTTATCAAACAAATTGTTATTTTTTATCTTTATTTTTTAATTTGCGATTTTTTTCTTGAATTTCGAAATTCGATATTATAGCTTACAAATGAGGCATCTTAAAACTTATCATGCAACATTGGCGAAAACCTAACAATTTGGCACTTGGAACATTTTTTACATATCTTTTCATGTGTTTTCCAAATTTTGAAGGAAAAGGCCAAGTGATTTATGCTTGAATTGCACTTGTTATAAGATAAAAAAACTCTAGCTAAATAAAGAAGCATATTTCAAAATTTTTATTCTGAATATGAAATAAATTCAACTGGAAGTGGATAAATAAACTTTGTATTCCAGTTTGTAATAAGATATGACATAAATTCTTTGGCAACTTCAGTGGAAGCCTTCATAACAATGGTACAAAGCACACGTTAAAAGTTATTTTCGATGCAAATCGGATAAATCATAGTTTACTTCAAAGAATATTAAACCAAAGCATTTTTTGCTACAGAAATCGGTCAAAACCAAAGGAAACTTCATCTAATTTGAGAGTAGTATATGATACGGGTTTTGTGACTTTTTTTGTAAACGTAAGAATTCATACAATATTGAACGATTTTGTATCATTTTTTTTGACATATGAAATAAAAAATATATGATTCTTACGGTTTTTATTCTTACGTTTTTGAATAAATCAAGATTTAAAAAATTTTCAAAATTGTAAGACATTTACACTCAGCCCATACATAATGAAATAAAAAAATAATTTTTTTAAAAAATAAACTTTAAAAATTCATGTCTTACATTTATGAAAATTTATTTTTATTTTGTATGAAAATGAGTGGATCAAGATTCGTAACCGTCAATCAATTAATGGATGCTCTTTCACCAATTCTTGAAAATGTTAAACAAGTAGATGTTTATTTCGATGATTATGTAGAAAGTTTATATTATAAAGGTAAGTTTAATATTGAACGATTTTGTATCATTTTTTTTGACATATGAAATAAAAAATATATGATTCTTACGGTTTTTATTCTTACGTTTTTGAATAAATCAAGATTTAAAAAATTGACTTCTTACGTAAAATTAAAACTAAGTTAAATTTATTTTTTTCATCTTTTATTTTATAATAAATGAGTATAACAACTAATTCATTGAAATCTTTAAAGTTCACTAATTCAGAATTAGAAAATATTTTAGAAAATTTTGGAGACGGTTCTTATCCAACATATATGCAGAATGTGAAAGAGTTTTCCAGATTGTTGAATGAATTTAAATATAACGGACCAATTACTAAAAAGGCTATAATGAGATATTTATATCCCAAAAAAGTTGAAAAACAGGAGAATATTCCTCTTTATGGTCCAGAGGACCTGGGCTCAGAGAGCCTTGAAACACCTCCTGAATATTTTGAAGAAAAAATTAAACAAGATGAATATTATAACGATGAGATTGAGAAATTGGAACAATTAAGAAATGAAATAGATGAAAAAATTAAGGAATTGAGAAATGCTGAGAATGAAGTAGAGGGTTTAATGAATATCCCGGCTTCAGAATCAGAAGTTCAAAAATCACATGAGGAAAGATATAAAAATTACTTTTTGGAATCTACTAAAAATTTATTAGATGGTGATATTGACGAAACACTTTCAGAAGAAGGCACAAAATTTATTCATAAACATAAGTTACAATTTATTGACGATGGAGATTATCCATGTATATTACTTTCACCCTCTTGATTCTGAAAATTCAAAAAAGCTCTGAAAAAGTGACATATGCAACAATACGATTAAGAAAGAAGACCATGATATTTACACAAATTATTATTTAAATAAATGTACAGGTGTTGATAAAGTTTTTGATTTGTTAGATAAAATATCAAAAGAAACATTGGAACTATAAAATTTTGTGATTGTGGTTTCATTATTGAAGATACCAATAATGTTTCATATGAAAGAACAGCACCGAAGACGAAGTGAAAGGTCTATACCATTCGTTATTAAGAATATAAGATAAAAACGTATAAGCATTATATTTATTCATTTATTTCAGAAAAAATGGAAGCAACCATAAAACATCTCTCATCATTTTATAGCTATTCATACATTCCTTTTCAAAGTTGTGAAATTAAATAAGACAGGAATTAGATTTAATGTATCAGGGTACGCATTCTTGAGTAAATTAAAATGTATTCGTCACGTCGCAGATGATAAAAATTTATGTGTTCTTAATTCATTTTATGGACTTTAGCCCTGGACTCTCGGACTTTAAAAAAATAAACTTTATTTTTATTTATTTTTATTCTTACATAAATGAACAAAAATGGAACAGCTAAAATGAATGATAATCAAATAAGAGCAGAAGGTAGAAGGTTATTTAAACGCTTCTATAACATTCCTGATGGTGTTAATCCTAAAACTCGTAGAAGTTATTTAAATGAAGCCATAGATGTATATGAAGGATTTGACATTTCATCAGAAAGTGAGAGGTTAGCAAGAATGTTAAACGTTAATATTGATTTCTATTATTGTGATCCTCAACCAGAAGACGTAGACATTAACAAGGTAGACTTTCCATTAGTGGAATCAATAATGATAGATCCAGAATTTGAAACAGTAAATATTTTATTAACACAGAGTCCATGTGGAAAACTTCACGCTGACAGAATAACAGACGTTGAAGCACTCACAGGATATAAAGTTTGCCCCTTTTGCAAAGAAGAAGTATATTCTATCCGTGATGATCCAGAAAGGAAAAACCAAAGAAGATTTTTAAAACATTGTGAGAAATGTAAAGAAAATAATGGAAGATTAATTCAAGACGTTCAATTGCAAAACACACAACAACCATATGCACCACATATCACGAAACAGAAGATATATCAGTGGTTATTAGCACATAATTTGCAGGAATATTATAAACCAACAAGATATTATATTACTTTTGACTTCGAAACATTAGAGACTAAAGAAGAATTACAACTTTCTGAGTGTGCAACTTTGAACGCTTACTTAAAACCATTCATGGTATCATCAACGGTTAAATTAAATGATAAAACATATACAAGGAATTTTTGCTTAACTTCGAGTGATTCTTTTATTTCTGATTGGATTGAGTTTTTATTTTCAACCTGTTCATTAGTTGTTAAATCAAATATTGAACAATATGAAGAATTAATGAATACATTAAATGAGAAACAAAAGGAAGCAATGAAAGAGCTTTTAGATGAAGAATTTAATAAAGTGAATATCATTGGTTTTAATTCGGGAAAGTTTGATTTAAATTTAATTCTTCGTGATTTAAATACTGCAAAATGGAAGATAAAATCAATGCTGGGTTCTTCTTCTCAATTTAAGCAAGTCATAGTAAAGAAAACAAACTGTCCATATGAATTGAGATTTATTGACATCAGAAATTATATAGCGGGTGGAACATTAGACCAATTTACTCAAGATTTCGGAAACAATAAAACACGTGTTAAATCATTCTTCCCATATCAATTCATCACATGGGAGAATTACGAAGATGAATTATATAAAAAGGAACCATTCACTCAAGATTCATTTTATTCAGCATTAACACAAGAAACAATATCCGATTCAGATTATCAAATATATCTCAATGATGCTAAAAATTTTGAGAATAGATTAGAATATTTTATTCATTATTGCAATAAAGACGTTGAAATTATGATTGACCCAATTGATAAAATTATTGAAGAAACATTTGTTTATAAAATTGACATGCTCCATAATCTTTCATTATCATCTAATGCATCAATGATTCGTTACGCG